TAAATTGTGAATAGACACGAAAGAGAGATTGTAATTATAAAAAACATTAAAGACATAATTTATTTGCTGGATAACTCATATGACAAGTCAAAATTGGCAAAAACGGTTTAAATGAGATGGCAAAACTTATATTCAGTTGATGTTAAAAAAAAAAAAATTATACTCAGTTTTTTCTCAAGTATGATTTAGAAAATAATGTAAGAATATCGTTTAGAAAATAATGTAAATAATGTAAGAATATTTACATTAACACAATATTAGCTAAAATATTAACACAATATTAACTCAGTTTTTTCTCAAGTATGGTTTAGAAAATAATGTAAGAATATCGTTTCATCCATTAACACAATATTACTTAAAATAACATAACATTTGATAAAATAGACGTGAAGTTTCAATTACTTTATATAACATATACGCGATAAATAAATAAATAAATTTTTTACCGGATCTGACCAGATCAGCTAATAAAATATATTTAAAAAATAATTTATTTACAATTATGTGTTCCGTAGTTTATATAAAGAGAATATGTATTTATCTATATTTTTAAGTAAATCTAGTTCATAGAAGCCAAGTGTCACAAATGGTTAAATGTTTAACTTTACGATATTTTTACCAGAACTCCACTCCAAATATTCGCGTTATCTTGTCTATATGTCGGATTTTGTCGACTCAAAACTTCAAAAATGTTTTAGCAAAAGAAAAAATTTCAAAAAATTATATAAGTTAAATCTAGCTCATAGTAAATATGGATACATAAATTATTTCATTACAAATATTAGCAGAAAGATTGGGCGTGTTGGACTTTTAGGTATGAAAAGGTTGGAACTTGGAACCAAATGTCGATATTTTCAGTTACCGTTGGTTGATCTTCTATGTATAATCTATTAATCTTAATCCATTTTATACAAGTAAAATGAATCTATGATATATATTTATAAATATGAGTCAGTTAGAAGTCTAGAGACATTTCAAATTGTAAAATATATTTTGACAGCTTATTTTAATGATAAGTTTTATAGATTTTGAAATGATATTCGTTCATTATCATTGACAAGTATTTGATTATATATGTTTGTTGTTTCTTATTGAATATATATATTGCTGTCTTTTTTTGTCTTGAGATTGTAAAATGAAAATTGATTTTTTTTATGTTTTTTTTTACGATATTTACTTAATTACGTTTATAGATGCACGTTTATTATTTTTTATAACTGCACTGGGAACGTTTATATATGGACTAAGTCACACCATTCAGTACAAAATATGATATAAAAATATATACTACTAATTTGATGAGATAAACCCATCTAACTTTGGCAGGTGAAACTCGCACCTAATCAATAACTAATGCCATTATATTATTATAATTATATTTATATTGTTCTCTTTTGATTATTCTCTAGATACATACATCTAGCTATATCACTATAAAATGCATGTAGTTCTCGGATTTTCTAAAAATTATAGTTTTAAATTCTCTAGTTCAGTCCGTATTTAAAAAAACAACAAATATTTAAACCTAAATAATATTGTTTATTTTGTTTACATGAAAATTCACCTATATTATTATTATAAATAACTTAACCGGAATTTTGAAAAGCCCGATATGAAACTATCTTAATTACTTTTTAAAGTTTTCCTATGAATACTATATGTTAAAGATTATATATATTCTAATTTTTTTTCCAATTATTCCTATTGGTATATATATCGATGATCATGGTTACGTTTGTCATATCTACAAAACACCTTAAATTCTGCAAACTATTTGACTAACCATTTACTAATGACGCTATTATAATACTGGTACGGTCGTTACACCATCATTTTTCCTTAATTTCTGAATATTACTTAAAAATATATGATAAGAATATAATTACCACTTC